CTGGGGACTGGGGAGCTCACCCTGAGGGCCGTGACAGCTCGCCCCGACCCGGGGGCCGAGGGCAGCCCACCCGGGACAGAGGGCCACGACGGCTCGCCTCAAGCTGGGGGCCGAGGGCAGCCTGCCCTGGGCAGAGGGCCATGACAGCTCGCCCTGAGCCGGGAGCCGAGGGCAGCCCATCCTGATCAGGGCAACACCCCCAGGAGCTGGCTGGTATAATCCCCCCTCCAACTGCCCCTACCCCAGTCTGGTCCCCTCGCCTGACTGAGGACTCTGTGGTCAGGGATAGTGTTTCCAATTCCAGCACTGCCACTTTTACCCCCCACATAAGTGGTCATACTATATTTTGAAGTAGGTGGCACTGCCCTCCCCCTTTATATATGATAAAGGGAATCTGAGAATTGTGAACAGACTCCTGCCAGGTCTAACCATCTTTTGGCAGAAGCATTCAACAGAACAAAATATGTGGTGCATTTAGGATGTCGGTCCTCTTGTGCATGCTGCCACTGTTAAGGTCATCAGACTCACAGTGACTTTCAGCAATCCACTGCATAGGTAATCGCCTTCTTTGGCCCATTTCTCCTTGGGAATCCTTGAATTCCTGTTGTTGAGCCTCGATCTTCACTGAAGGCCAGTCATCAACTGTTTAAGTGTCCAATTATCAATAAGCCGAAGTCTGTAGAAGGCCATAATGGCCCTGCTTTAAGTGGTTCGCTGCTCCCGCAGCTCACCACGCTGTCTCTGCCTCCGTCGCCATCTTGGATCTCCAAAACAGTACTTTTAACAAGTCACTGGTAGTACAAAATTCTACCACGTCATCTCTGACTTCATTTCTATCACCAAGGCCATTATTTTCCAATTACCAATTCTTCTGTTTGCATCTCTTGCATTCTAATTACCAGTTGTTATTCTTAATGCATCTTAATTGTATGTTTGATCAACTCAGACTGCAAAAATTTATAGAGTCAATTTCATCATCTTTCTTTTTAGAGGCTGGTGCATAGAGCTGAATAATCTATTAACAAGGCTTCCATGTGTATACTGTTATTACCCTATCATAGACAGTACTGTACTTCAGGTACAGATCTTGGTATGTTCTATTAAACAATGAATGTGAATTTGGCACCATAGTCCTTTTCCTGTCAGTAAGAAATTCATAACTATTTATTGTCTTTGACAAATAAACACTATTACTTTAAAATTATGTTTTTCTCCTATCTTCTGACAAAGAGATATTTTTATCTAAACTCAATAAATAGTACTACTTCTACAAATTTAAGAAGTTAAAAGTTAAAAATTCATTTGTTCCTTCACGGAATTTTTCTGTTATTCAGGCTTTTAATTATGAAGAATA